GGAAAATTTCATGAGATGAAAAAAAAAAAAAATTTAAAAATAACAAAAAGTTAAAGAAATGCCCTAAGATCACGTATTACTTGCAAAAGTATTCATTTTCGATTCCCTTTGACAATCATCATGTGTACAAATATCATTTTGTAGCGTATCAAGCACCAGCCATTCTAAATTAAGAAGGAAAATATTTACTTTATTTATTTGGTTATAGGTACTTGGTAGGATACATAAAAATTAGTTCGGTTTGTCCACGTATTAAATTATATGATATTAGTTTTAGAAGACTAAAATTTAAATAGATTTCAAATAAAAGACAAAAAAATTATTTTTGACACACATGTAGTGCTGCATTATAAACTTGAACATTATAATCCCCGCAGCCCGCTTGCTGTATGGAAGTAATTTAACGACAACCCGAAATTGTGAATTTTACTTAACAAAATCATCATTACTCCTTGCCAATTGTTATAAATAACCATAATATAATAGAATTTACAATTTCTTTGTACGGTGTACATGCATGTTTTACCATCGACGCCTATCTTTGAAATTAAGGAATAAAATACTTTGGCCTTACTATCAAGCTTAAAAATTCATTAAATTTCCTTTTTGCACCTTTTTGTTTTTCCATTTGTTACCGAATTAATCTTGATGTCAATTGTTACTAGTGTGTACCCCGTGCGATGCACGAAAACAATATTAAATTAACAATATTATAAATAGACCTCGAGTTTGAGTCACTCAATGGCAGAAGTGGAAACTACTATTGATCCTATTTAAAAAGAGAAAGAAAAAAATATTTATAAATTAAAGAGGAGGATAAATAATACTTAATAATTATAAATTAAAGATTTGAGGTCAAACAATGTAAAACTATTTTGTATAAGAGAATATGAATTTTACATTATTTTGTATAAGAGAATATAAAATTTGTATGTTTAATATTAAAAACACCTAAAATATTATATTAGTATATGTAAAAATACTCAAAATTTTCTATATTATTTTTGAAAGATGTGAAGTCACCTATAACTTTTGTACACAATTTTAAAAGGAAAACATATCTTAAAATATTTGAATTTAACATTGTGTAAAAAAGATGTTTCTAGACTATTTTGTAAAGAAAACATGTCTACAAATATTTAAATTTAACATAAATTATGTATATGTGTGTATATATATATATATATATATATATATATATATATATATATATATATATATATATATATATATATATATATATATATATATATATATATATATATATATATATATATATATATATATATATATATATATATATATATATATATATATATATATATATATATATATATATATATATATATATATATATATATATATATATATATATATATATATATATATATATATATATATATATATATATATATATATATATATATATATATATATATATATATATATATATATATATATATATATATATATATATATATATATATATATATATATATATATATATATATATATATATATATATATATATATATATATATATAGACGAATATGTAAAAAAAATGTTTAAACAATTTGTTTAAAATATCTAAAATATTATAAGCATAATTTAAAAAAGACATTATGTCAGATGATACGGCGTTACTTCCATCTAAAAAATTTGATTACACACCATTATTTATATACTTTTTACGTTGTTATCGAGGATTTATTGTTAGCTTATAATATTTGTAAAAATATTAGTAATTAGACCGATGAAAATTAACTTTTTAAAGTAGATAATGGATTTCTAGTAGTAATTATGAATTAATTTTTATTTTATTTTATTTTTTAAAATCCTTTTAGATAAGAGATGAGATTTTTTAAACTCGTGAGACATATGCAATGGGATTTTGTAACAGATAAGAGATAAACTCTAGATTTATACTATGAGATTTTAACGCCATTTTCAATATGGAAAAAAGAAAACAGATTCTAATACAATTAATCTGCCGATTTTGTTGCCTTATCAATATTGTCCAACAATTACTATATATAGGATATATTTAATGAATTTGGCGGGAAAACATTTCTAAAATTGTAAAAATAGTTATTCTTTAATATAATAATAGATTCAAAAAAGACAAATTTAACATCTCATTTACTATTCACCGCCCTCCTGTTACTAACACCGCCCCCCTTTTACTCTTTTGTCCTTAACCCTTTTTTTCTCCCTATCTCTCTAAACTCCCGAACTTTCAATGAGCGATTCGAGCACCGAAAAAATCCAAAAAAATATCTAAAAAATCTTACGGCCTCGGCCAAGCATTCTTCTCTAGCAAGGAANATAATAATAATTATAAATTAGAATTAATTATAATAATAATTTCTAATAATAAATATATTTAATTGTAATAATTATAATACTACTTATATATTGTAATAATTATAATAATACTTATAAATTATAATAATAATAAGGTGAATAAATCCACTAAACAAACGTGAGCCGGAGTCCAGTGGTTTTGCTCACGCTCCCATTATGTTTTTCTCAGGTGACGGAGTCCAGCCAGAGCGTGAGCCGAGCGGTGGTGTGGTGGTGTCCAAAGACAGCTGGACATTCAATTATGTTTATGTTTATGTTGGCATGTAATAATATAATTTTCAGACTGTACTGTATTTTATTTACGCTTCCGTACTGCCAACCTAGAACTAGTATGCACGCATGTTAATTTTCTCTTATCCATATTCTTCAGCTGGATTTTATATCAATTTTGGTACATGCATAAGTAAAAGGAAAGAATAAGAAGTTAGTTATTAAGTAACATCCCGTGAGTTAGTTAAGTATAAGTATTTTTCAAAAACAGTATCAGCATCTTTCGAAAACAAACGCAAAAATTTTACTCAGTTATTTGTAAGTAAAAGTTAGAAAAGGCAGGGTGTTACACCTACGCTTCGAGACAGGCTCGTTCTCCTGAGAGTCTGACGGGTCGACTCAGGAGAACGAACTTGTCTCGAAGCGTGGGAACATACGTTCGTGTTACAGAGTAATCGAAAATCGCATCAATTGTATTTTTTTTTCATTTTTAAATTGAATGATTTTTTTTTTATTTGCTAAACTTCACTTGAATGAGTTTTTATTTGTTAAACTTCAGTTGAATGAGTTTTTTTTTAATTGTAAAACATTAAGTTGAATGGTTTTTTTTACTAGTGTATATAACGTGCGATGCACGTAGGAGCTCATATTTTAAATATTTTTTTATACTTTATTTTAAATATAATTATTTATATTTTTCACATCTCGTCTATTATGAAAATAAAACAAATATATTGGTAAGTATCTTCGTAAGAATAGTCATATCATTTTAATTTCAAAAAAATTGGCAAGTTTGTTAGAGAGATAATTCCAGTAGATAAATAATTAATTAGTTAAGATATTATATTAGTTATATCATAAAGAATTTAGTTAGATAATGTAGATAGAAATATAATATTAATTAGTTTGTTAGAAATGTGATTATATGAAAATCAAGATAAAATAAAATTTACCCAAAAAATCTGCTTGTGATTTTTTCTTTTAAATGTTTGAATTTAAAAATCTAATAACCAAATTTAGATTATAAAATTAATTATATTTTATTTCTATTTTTTCCTCCTCCATTATATTTGCTTCCGCTGCTACTTTTCCGGGATCATGCGACTCAACTCATCACAATCACATCTTTATTTAGTTTTATCAACTCATTAAAATTACATCTATTAAAATAAATTTTCTGTCGAAACCTTTCACTTTCCTGAAGAAAATATTTTTTAAAAGTTTTCAATCTACATTTTATTAATCGAATATTCAGGTTTTATAAAAAACGTTTTGTTTCATAATATGTATATATTTTAATTTTAAAAATGATCTTGCAACTTATATTATTGAAAATTAGCTAAATTATTATAGATGTTTTTAGACATTTTTTAATAAATAGCATATAAAACTGTAGGTGTTTAAAAAAAATGAATAGATAAATTAATTGTATTTAACATTTTTTGACATATATCTTAGTTTTTTATCCATGTTAAAGATGTTATGAAATTTTCATACAACTCAAACATTCGTCCAATTGTTATTTCTACACCAACGAAATTCTACCTACGATTTTAGGATTGACATGATATATAAAAATCGCTCCCAAAACTCCAGTTAAATGATTCTTTTTTTTTTATTTCTTAAACTTCAGTTGAATAATTTTTTTTTATTTTAACGTCCAATTTATAACAAATTATTTTGAATATATAACATAATAATTTATAATAATATTATTTTTTTTTAAAAAAAAAGGTGTCTGGCCGGTCGGACCGGCACAAGGACCGGTCCGTATGGCCGTAAATCGCGTACGGACACGGTCGTGTCTGGTCCGACCGGCCGGACACCATTTGGGCCGTCCGGTTTCAGCGGCGGACAATTTTTTTTTTTTTTTTTTTTAAACTTTTTGAAAAAAAATGTCAGGGACAAAATTGTCTAATAGGGGCGATAACTAGTAATAGGGAACGATGAATAGTAATGCCCATTTAACATTCCTTCGTGAAAACATTTTGCAACGATAGGGTTATATAGGCTTGTAGCAGATACAACTTTGGATAAAGCTTTATTTTTTACTGACATATTCGACAAATTTCAAATTGTAAGCCATTTGCTACGATAAGCAAGCGTTGAGGTTTTCACAACATTTATGGATGCATAATTTGCTTTTTCAGGTAAACAACAGCAATAATAATAATATCATTTAAAGTACTAAAGGGGAGCAACATTTACATAACCTTTAACCTGATTAGTGGAATCATAAACTATTTAAGTACATTAATTAAATCTATGAGAAAATCGTCTTGCTAAAAGGCTATAGGTCAAATTCTAACACAAACTAGTAGGACCACTTGAAATTTAAAGTTGAATACTCTTTTTAATGTATGATTGCTTTCAGTTACCCACAATAGGGACCAAAAATGAAGAGTAATCTCCATGCAACACTACTCTTCATTCTTTATCCATGCACACTCCATCTCATCCATTATTTGGCCTATAAATAGATGGCTTTGATTGTTAATATGGTGTGCCAACTCTCAATCTCTCTTTCTCTTAACTATCCAAAACCTTCTCCAGTCGATATATCAACTTTATTTCCTGATGGCGAGTTCTGTCTCAATGGCTGTTCCCGAAGTTGTGCCTTACGATTTCGGCCGACACCTCACCCGACACGACTTCCCCACGGGCTTTCTCTTCGGTGGGGCCACCTCTGCTTATCAGGTAATAACTATGCATTATATTTTCATCAGTTAAAATTATTATGATCTGGTTAGTGTCCAGATTATGTAATTAGTGTAAAAAAATGATTAATGCTGGTCAGTAACGATTTTTGACGGGAAAGTGCCACGTAGGTATAATTAAACAGGTTTTATTTAATGTTTGACCAGCAATCATATATATAGATAATGGAGTAATTTGTTTTGAGTATATTTTTCAGGTGGAAGGAGCTTATAATGTGGGAGGCAGGGGAATGACTAATTGGGATGCTTGGAGTCTTATGAAGCCTGGTTGGTCCATTCAGCCATTAATAATACATTAATATAAAAATATGAAATATCCATACAAAAGCACACAACAAAATTACACCATATCTTTGTTTATAGCTATAACAACATTTTATTTATTCAATTCAAATAGTAATGTTGTTGCTCATTATAATGACAGGTAAAGTGTTGGATGGCGGCAACGGATGTCGTGCTATTGATCACTATCATAACATCAAGGTAAGTCGAAAATCTCTAAAAGAGTCTAATTAATTAATAAATTTTAATAAAATTTCCAATCTCTAATCTTTAAATGGCCGGCCTGGAAATTCTTTCACAATATTGCAGGAAGATGTGAAACTGATGAAAGACATGGGGATAGAGACATACAGGTTTTCGATTTCATGGACCAGAATTTTGCCAGGTATGAGAATATTTTTAATTTTTTTACTGAGTTCAAAGCTTTCGGCCAAAATGGTATTCGATGAGTATCTCATGTCTTATAATTAATTAATTGAACCGTGCGTGCAATAATAGGTGGACAATTGAGCACCGGTGTAAACAAGGAAGGCGTCAAGTTCTACAATGACATGATTGACTTATTAATTGAAGCAGGTTAATAAACACCACTCTGCTTTTTCACATATTTTTACCACAATGTTGCTGTTAAACATGTCAAGTCCTTAAGCTAGTCGACCGATTCATCTTATTATTTGAACGTCCGAAATGCTTATTTATGCGACAATTTTTTTTTTTTTTCACTATTAAGTTTACACTATCTTAAATTGATATCAGAATTTAGTTTTCATTATACATTTAATTTATATTTACAATCAAATCTCACAGGAATTGAGCCGGTTGCTACTATCTTTCACTTCGATACTCCCCGAAGCTTGCAGGACGAGTACAAAGGCTTCTTGGATCGCAGGATAGTGTAAGTCATTTCTCATTAATTAATCACAGACCATAAATTGATTCTGTGATTATTATTAGCCTTTAGATACACATGTAGATTGGTTTAAGGTAGCTAATCCATGGTTAAAACACACTAACAGAATCATTCCGTGACGGGACTATAGTCATTTCCTATATATATATATTAACATTTGTGCATGGTTTTATGGTACGTAGGCATGACTTTGGCAATTATGCGGAAGTGTGTTTCCGCGAATTTGGCGACCGAGTCAAATTCTGGGTAACGGTAAACGAGCCGAGCACATACACTGTCCTTGGATATGTGAACGGCACATTTCCCCCAGGCCACGGCTCACCACCGAGCGAACTTGGACTAAGATTTGTCAACTACAGAAACGTGCGTGGTATCGACCCAACTCTCTATGGTGGAAATGCCGCAACCGAGCCTTACATCGTGGCCCACCATTTGATCCTCTGTCACGCTAAGGCCGTCGATATTTATCGCAAAAAGTTTCAGGTAATTAATTAATTAATTACTTGGTAGGTAAGTAGAATATTTTAAATGATACAATGTGGGATGAATATTGCGCAGGCGGTCCAAGGAGGCAAGATAGGCATTGTGGTTGTACCTAACAGTTGGTACTTTCCCTACTCTGAGAAAAAGGAAGATAAAGAAGCTGCTGTAAGAGCTGTTGAATTTTTGCTGGGATGGTAAAAAATTATATAATAACTGTTTAATCATTAGACCTTCATCATTCACAATAAGTATNTAATTTTTTTTTTTGAATTATATTATTCAGGTTTGTCCAGCCATTAGTGAGCGGCGAGTATCCGGACAGCATGCAAACGCGCGTGAAAGAGCGGCTGCCTAAGTTTACGGAAAAGGAGAGGATGAAGGTAAAAGGGTCCTATGATTATATTGGGCTCAATTATTACACCACAATATATGCAGCTTACAAGAAAAAGCAGCCTGGTGACCCAACAAACTACTACACAGACCAGGAAGTCGAATTTCACAGTAAGTCGTGTTCGAACAAAAAATATTTACATTTTTACTTGTGGATAACTAATTATTTGTCGACACATTGATTCAAATTCTTTTTTCTTAATTGTCTCAGCTAGTAAAAATGGAATTCCAATTGGCCCTCAGGTAAAATTTAGATTTTGAGTGTCAGAGCTTCAACATTAATCTTTGATATGCAGATTAATATCACGAACTTATAATAATTGGTCTTACATAATTTGTTATATTATATGCATACAAACACATATTTTAATTCTTGATTAATGTCTACAGGCAGGTTCAGATTGGTTGTACATTGTGCCTCGTGGAATATACGAACTTCTTACTTACGCAAAGAGACAATATAACGATCCTATCATTTACATCACCGAGAATGGTATTGCTATAATCAAACATCCTAAATACTAAAATATTAAAGTATTAATATAAAATATTAATTACTAAAATCCAAAATAAAATAAATATTAACAAATCGAATTTTGATAAACAGAACTGTTCACAATATTAATTAATTAATTAATGCAGGGGTGGATGAAAAGAACAAGCAGCAGCTTGGTCCAGATAAGACTGAAAGTGAAGGGAAAAAAGATAAAGTACTGCCAATTTCCCTCCTTCTGAAGGACGACTACAGAATTAAGTACCATCAGCAACATCTTGCATACGTTAAGCGTGCTATAGAGTAAGTATATATGAGTACCACCTTTTTTTACTATGTAAAAGTGATTTAATACCAAAATTTTCACCTGTACACAGTAAAGATAAGGTGAATGTGAAGGGATATGCTGTGTGGTCCATATTTGACAATTATGAATGGGCCGCGGGATACACAGTACGATTTGGCATGTACTTTGTGGACTACTTAAATGGGCTTACTAGGTACCCAAAGAAGTCCGTGTTTTGGTACATGAATTTCCTCAACAAAAAGAAGCTTCCGGGCCCTCGTGATAGGGAGATGATGGAAGTCGAGGAAGTCGAGGAAGAGGAGAAGGCGGGAAAAAGGAAACGTAACTATTAGAAGGATTGACGGCGTTATTATATATCTACCTCGTATGAATGTGCTATGTGTGTCACGAATAAGGCATCGTTTATGTACGTTTTATTATTTGAGTGTTGTGTGTTTGAATTTATGAGGTTTATGAGTTATGTGTTTGAATAAGAGCATGAGATGCATCTCATCTAATGGCACTATTGCATGTAATTAATGTTTTAGCCACATAGGCTTTGATTAAAATATATATCATGTTTGCATAAGTGTGTTGAAATATCACTTGTGAGTTGTCAATTCTATAGGGAAAATCATGAGCCTACTTTATATGGCTACTGGGTACTCTTCCCATCATCAATTGGTTTTGGAATGAAACCTCACTACGGTGCACTTAGGCTCACCCTCTTATGGTGCATTTCACTTATGTGGGACTGTACTTCTTCCCCCTACTCTATAAATCTAATATGGTATCAGTGTAAACTCTAGAAAATCGAACAAAATCAACACAGGAGCTTTGGGAAATTTTCGCCATTAATGATGTTCTTAGCTCAAAGCTTAAGCTACACGATGATCCAAAAAGAGGTATTTAAGCTAACTAAAACAACTAATTAGTTAAGGTTCGACCAATGAGGTTAAGACACGTACCTCTTAAAACTCTAAGAAGAAATGTAAAACGCGCTTCTGTAAGTGAAGTGCGAGTTCAACTGAAAATGAAAATAGAAGCAGAAAATAAAACTCCAAAGCCACGCATGTCTTCTTGCATGATCAAGGTGGCCTCCACGCTCGTCTACGTCAACATGCGTGCGCCTACATGTCAACACTCTCCCCTCAAGCAGGAATGTGGAGGAAGAGGAGTGGACCAGATCTTCATGTAGTACATTGATACTGCGGCCTAGAAAAGCTCGGTCATCCCAGGATGACGTTATATGTGAGATTCGCGTCGACAACCAGGAACTTGACCATCTTGGCTTTCCTCGGGTCGGACCTTCCGAGGATGACCGACAACTGGATCTCTCCTAATGGTGTGGCAACGCTCCCGTTGAATCTATATAATGTATTGCATACATGAGGCTTCCTACACCTGATTTATATATAACTGCTTTCATGTCCTCTATCTCTTCATGTGTCTTTGGACACATGTCCATTGAAAGAAAAACTCCATGCCGGAAAGGTAAAAATACTCTCTTGGAGTTCTGCATGCTAAAACAGTCCACGATATAGTATCTATGTATGAAGCTTGGGATAAGTAGAGCATCATTTTCTGCGATCCCTTATTATTTTGATCCCAAGACTATGCACTGTTTTTCCTAAGTCATTCATATCAAACTGTTTTGATAACTATACATGTGTTCGACAATACTTTTTACACTATTTTCAATGAGCAGTATGTCATCAACGTACAGTGCAAGAAATACCACCACATTTTTGTCACACTTTTTGTACACGCATTGGTCATACGAATTCTGAGTAAATCCATAGGACTAAATTACATTATCAAATTGAATTTTCCAAGACCTAAGACCTTGCTTAGATAATTGATTGCGAAGGGACATGCGAGAGGTACAAGACACGCCTCTATGTATTCAGGCCGGATATAATTGACTGGGCGAGCAGGACGGTGAAATTTGTTATTATCATCAAACAAGTCTATTGATCTCGGAGGACAATAGCTCATTAGGAGGCTAGATGATATAGCATATAAAGATAGCTCGGTAGAACCAGTCATGGTTAGCTCTGTTTGTAGACTGAAGTTTAGCTAGGCTGGTTGGTTTAGAAGTAATAAGATTTCAAGTAGTTCGGATAGCTAAGGTATATCTATAGCTCGGCAGATAAGGAGCTCGGACGACTTAGATATAATTAGAGCTCAAATAGCTAAGTTATGTCTATAGCTCGACAGATAAGGAGCTCGTACAACTTAGACATAGTTTTAGCTCAGACAGCTAATGTATGTCCATAACTCGGTATATAAGGAGCTCGGACAACTTAGATATATTTATAGCTTGGATAACTAAGTATGTATATAACTCGGCAAATTATAACGAGCACGAACAACTTAGATATGTTTATAGTTTGGATAGCTAAGTATGTCTATAGTTCAGCGGATAAAGGAGCTCGGACAACTTAGACATATTTATAGCTCGAACATAATAACATGGTAACTTACTTGAGTAGGAAGCGGATCGAACTATATATACTAGGTTGAGTCCAGGCTGTTAATTAGGGACACGTGTGGGCAGGACAAATACTTGTTCAGGAAACTAATAATCTTCTATAAATAGGTAGAATTGAGAAAAGGTAAAGACTAATCACATTTTGTACGCTTTAAGTTTTCAGCATATTTCCATATAGCTCCAGAACAAATATTTCACTGACTTGATTGTCAGACGTTTAACGTCGGAAACACCTCCAGACGTCTTTGCAGGTCTTTCGGGAAGCAATTCGGTCAGAGGTTATGGAAAGCCAGTTCGAGGTGCGAGAGCACATCACTTTATCTTATGACAAATATGCATGTGTGGTCAATTAAGGCTTTTAACATTGTAAAATAATTGGATCTTTTTTCCTTTAACCTTAACTTATGGTAGTTATGGATGGCCAAATAGTAATTTTAGATGATATGATATAAAAATGCTTATCTATGAATTTTTATTTGATAAAATGAAAAGAGGGATGAGAACGTGAATTGCAAGTGACAATGCGACGGCATGGTGGAGCTGCCACGCTTCTCACAAATAGTTTCGTGATCAACATGTTGACCCATGCTCCATCCCTCGTGGGCAACTTTATCAACAATTTTATTCTATATTCCACTTTCGGAACCTGTTGTAAGCACCTTCAAAATCATATTAATTGAACCCCAAATTTTAAATTATTCAATTGATTAAGCAATATATATTAAAACATAATCTATCCGGGAACACTTAATATATCTGGTGTGTGAAAATACATGTCTTTGTTCTTTTCATATTAACATCACCAATCGTATCACACAATATTAGTATTTAATCATATCACACATTCGTAAAATAAAATAGTAGCTTATACAGATTTCGAGATATCACCTGGACAATACACAAAACACCTATAAATAGTCCCTCAACCCTTAGAACTCTCCATACTATCAAATCTCCAAACATTCACCCATTTTTCCTCCTTTCAAACACACACACACAAACAAAAATGCTGCCTGATTTCATTGCCAAGTGCTTGTTCCGTTTCGTGGGCCCACACCTCGCCAGTACCCAACCCAACCAACCTTCAGACGACCCGCATGTCCTCAACCTCATGCGCCAACTCATCACCCTTGACCAAGGTCAAACCCACACCACTCCCTATCTCCACCGGGCCCAAAACCTAGCTTGCCAGCTGGCGGCCTCCGGGCGTCCCCTCACGGCCCATGAGTTCAACATCCTCGTGCTAAAGGGCCTCAGGCCCGAGCTAAGGGAACTTGCGGTGGGCTTGGCGGCCCACCAAAGCCCAGTCCCCTTCGCGGAGCTTCACAGTTTCCTTGTGAGCCATGAGTTTATCCACTCGTATTCGCCAACTTTCTCTCTCCCGGATTCGGTTTGCCAATGGTGCATGGCCTCGGGACATAACGCGAGGTCATGCAGTCTTCTGAACAAGCATGGAGTTGAGGAAAAGGAAATTACGGGTGGCGACAAAGTGGTTGTACGTGATGAGGATATTAATAATTTAAAGTCGAAAAAATATTCGTCCGAGTGGGGAATTAAGGGTGACCACGACCTCGATATAACTACGGTGGAGAAGGGCATAGGGACGATCGGCCGACATGATTTTCCAGAGGATTTTGTGTTTGGAGTTTGCACCTCATCTTATCAGGTTTCTGATATTTTCTTACTTATATAAATATGGTTTAATTACAAAATATAGTCAGTGTCTTGTACGCGGTGGCAATAATAGTCTCCATCTCTACGAATTGGCAATAGTAGCAAAAAACTATTAAAATTTCAGAGTAATTACCCAAGTCTGGCCGAATTTGATGGCTATTATTTCCAACAAAAAGATACTGGCTATATTTTGTAAGTTATCCGTCGAATTTGGTCAGATTTGGGTAATTAATTACCCTAAAATTTTAATAGTTGTTGGCTACTATTATCAATTCGTAAAGATGGTGACTATTATTGCCACCACTTAGAAGATACTGACTGTATTTTACAATTTAGCCTATATAAATTGATACTATTCTAATATTTGTCAGTCAATATGATCATGTTTTCGGGACTGACTTAAATAGAAATGCGGCCTATATATCTTTTTGGTACCAATGGAGTATATATTTATTGTGAGGGAAGGTTGTGGTTAACCAAGATATAAATGTAGTAAATTTGTTATCTGAATATTGGTGATTTCATTTGGGTTATATGTTGTGTAGTTTGAAGGCGCTGCAGCAGAAGGCGGAAGGGGCTTAGGTGTATGGGACGTTTTCTCAATGGAAACTCCAGGTCTCTTTCTCATATTTGATTGCCTGTATATATATATTATGAAGGTGTGTTGGATATGATTGGTGAATTGCTTTTTTTTTTTAATATCCCAAATTCCTTGTCATCCGTGAATTCACGCATCACATATGTATACACATTTAAGTCTGCTGATCTTTGCAATTTCTAAGCATACTGTACTAATTTTAACAGTCCAATTACATGTTGAAATACGTACGTACAGATAGAATCTTCGACGGGACTAATGGGAATGTTGCGGTGGATATGTATCATAGATACAAGGTGGTACAAATTTCGTTATCATTGTCTTTCTTGTAGTTGATCAACTACAAATTAATATATACTTGTTAGCCTCATCAGCTGATCTAGTCTTTGAATATTATCTTAATCTGAAGTGTGTGATTTGATCAGGAGGATATAGATATGATGAAGAAAATGGGGTTTGAGGCATGTAGAATTTCCATATCATGGCCAAGAATCTTGCCTGGTGAGATCTTACTTAGATAATTTGCAAGATCATATGTTTGTTTCATCTCTTAATCTGTATTCTGTATTCATGAAATCAATACTTGTAGTTTCTCTCATGTTATTACTATGCAAATGATACCCCTGTAATATCTGGCGAGGTAATTAAGAAATTTACACATAACTAGAGATGTTAAACGGGCTAGCCCTAGCGGTTTTGGGCTAGTCTTAACGGGCTTCGGACTAAACGGTCCGGGCTTAAAAGCTCGGATTTAAACGGGCTACCAATAAAAGGACCTAACCCTAAACTTAGCGGGCTTCGGGCTAAACGGGCTATACGGGCTATAATAATAATAATAATAATAATAATAATAATAATAATAATAATAAATTACAATACCTAATTAACGGTTTTTTTCAACGACTATTTAGTATTTATCACTATATATATACAACTACACTTCATATATGAACACACATTACAAAAATGTTTCTCAATAGAAAAAAAAAATGTTCGAACTATTACTTATAACTACCGTTTGACTAGTTATTTGGTACGCTTCAGGAAATTTCACATATAGCATAGTGCTGAATTTATATTCTATCATTATATTCTATGTGTTAGATCTTTGTCTCATTTGTTTTTAAATAGCCGTTCTGGTTGGCTTAAATATTTTGATGTGAAATAGAATAAAATTTGTTTAATTATCTATCAAAATAATAATAATAATAATAATAATAATAATATATTATAACTCATAATTACATGTGAAGTAGAATAGCAAAATTGTAATATACAAGGAATCATGAGACATATTCCTTACATTTCTAAAAACATATACACCACCCAACCCAAGTTAAACGGGCTAGCCCTAACGGTTCTCGGGCTAGCCCTAGCGGGCTTCGGGCTAAACGGTCCGGGCCTAAAAAGTCCGGATTTAAACGGGCTGCCAATAAAAGGTCCTAACCTTGTTTTTTTTTCCGGGCTAAACGGACCGGCCCGTTGGGCCAAAGACCATTTAACATCTCTACACATAACTAATTAAAAAATACTAGCTAGAAATTTTGTTTTAAATTTGAAAATACTTCTAAAAATACATTAATATTTTAAGTTGAAATAACACCTATTGCAAAAAGACTCCCTAACAAATACAGATATAATTATTTATTATTTTTCATGTATGCATTACATATGTTAGATTGAACATCTCCAAAAATTTGATATATCATTCATGGAAAATAATACCAAATAAAAAACAAATATTAATTTTTTAACATAAATTTAAATCACTTAAGCGATTTCGAAAATCCTAATAGACTCGTATAAAAGTTGAGGGATTCATGATTCATCATTGTTAAGTAACAATGGATATTGTAAAACTATATAAATATTGTCTCTGAAAAATTAGCTGGAAGACGCACGGGTGGAATCAATAGAGAGGGTATCAATTTCTACAATGATCTCATCAACACATTACTCGCCCATGGTACGTTCTAGACTCATATATATATATATATATATATATATATATATATATATCCTTTATTATTATTACATGTTTAAATTTTTCATAATAGCATTTTGAATTTCAAGTATGGTACTAAAATTAATATATGTGGGTTACTATACTATATATGGTGCAGGCATTGAACCTTATGTAACTCTATTCCACTGGGATCTCCCTTACTGTTTAGAACAGGAATATGGTGGCTTTTTGGACAAGAAAATTGTGTAAGAATTTCATATTATATGAACATCTGAATTCAATTTTGAATCCCAACAATATTGTTTCACCATCTTTTCAAGTATTTTAACAAAATTGCTAATTCTATATAATGTTTTTTTTTTTAAAACAATAAAATTAACCAGGAACGATTTTCGTGAGTTTGTGGAGTTATGTTTTTGGGAATTTGGTGATCGTGTGAAATCTTGGATTACGATAAACGAGCCATGGACATACTGCACGTCAGGCTATGTCTCGGGAAAATTTCCACCGAGCAAGCCAGCAGCCCCTGCTCACAAAATTGGAAATAGTCTTACCACTTATAGAGCAGTTCACGACCCAAATTTGACTGTACCAAGTAACCATGGTTACTTTAACTCAGAGTCCGACCCAGCCAAAGATGCGTACACCGTGGCTAGAAATTTGCTACTCGTTCATGCTGCAGCAGTTCGTTCTTACAGGACAAAATTCCAGGTTAATTATTTGATTTTTTTTAGCTAGGAATAATTATGAAAAAAGCCCCTGCTAATTTGGAGTGTTATTAGCAAATATAAATTCTTGTGAAGTAATTCGTTTTGAGGGTAATGAAAAAACTAACATATATGAGTTTTGATAAATTGGAAGTTACAAGTTCTTATATGAGGCAACCGATAAAGCAAGTTGAACAACATAATTATACTGTGAAATGTCATAATTTTGTTAATATTTTTTTTATGATATTTCGATTTTATGACACCTAAGTTTTAATTAATGAATTGGTGAAAAAATGGTCACACGAAAATCAGACTTCCATGATTTAGTACAAATTATTATATACGAACATTATTATTATTATTATTATTATTATTATATTTTGACGTGAAAATTTTGATTAGGAACTTCAAGAGGGCAAAATAGGAATGGTATTATGCTGCCAATGGTACGAGCCTCTGGACGACAGCTCGAAGGAAGACATAGCAGCCTCGAAAAGAGCCATGGACTTTATGTTGGGATGGTAAAATATATTGAAACATTAATCCAAATTGGTTAATCTATACTTAATATGTTAATCAGAAATTTAAATCCTTGGCCTTATCTCTAATTGCAGGTTTTTGGAGCCAGCGCTAACTGGTAGATATCCAGAAAGTATGATAAATTATGTTCCTCCAGAAAATCTGGCACAATTTTCAGAAGAGGAGTCTCAAATGCTCAAAGGGTCCATTGATTTTCTGGGTTTGAATTATTACACAGCCAACTACGTGGCCAATGATATCAGCCCCAACACAGAGAAATCCTATTTCAAAGATCAAAAAATTGCATTTCTTGGTAACATTTTGGACAAATTATGAAATCTTAGCTACTTCTATTGTTAATTATCATTTGCTATTACATTATTATTAATTGTTTATNCTAGATGCGAAGAATGGGAAGCTAATTGGACCATTAGTAAGGATCCACTTTTAAATTGTCTATTCTCTGTCCATTTTGTGTATTTTATTATGTTGGAAAATCAACAAACTGTATATTTATTTTCGCTGTGAATATGAATTGTGAATTTCTAACTAAATAACCTGGTTTGTTTTATTGTCCTTATTAGTATATATAAACACCATCGTTTTGCAGGCTGGTTCGACATGGTTGTACATAGTGCCATGGGGAATCTACAAGCTCTTGAAGCATATTAAAGACACATATAAAGACCTTCCCGCCATCTACATAACTGAAAATGGTACTCACTCATTACAAATTTACATAAAAAATAGTTGATTATGGTAAATAATATGACTAGAATTTAAATTAATTTTTATTTTTGTTTCGAACAGGCGTTGATGACAAATATGACTGTAAGCTTACATCTTATGATGTTTGTGCTGACACAACACGGGTTAAGTATCATGAAGACCATCTTTCGTATATTCTAAAAGCAATGAAGTAAGTTTATATATATGTGTCCAACTTCATATTATATTTATTACAATGTTGCTATAAAACCAACTGGTTGGTTCCCTTATGGAACCAACACCTAATTAGACAGGCTCCAGCCCACATGGAGCCTGTCTAATTGGGTGTTGGTTCCATAAGGGAATCGACCAGTTGGTTTTATAGCAACACTGACATTTTATTAACCGCCAGAGCTACATTACCTATTATTAACATCAATTGTGCTATTTTGCTAGAAATTTATTTAATTTTTGTTTTGGAATTGCAGTGAGTCGAACGTGAACGTAAAAGGCTATTTCGCATGGGCGTACTGCGACAATTTCGAGTGGTATGAAGGGTTCACCGTTAGATTTGGGCTCGTCTACATTGACTTCATGAATAATCTCACGAGATATCCAAAAAGCTCGGCTTTGTGGTTCACCAAATTCCTGAAGAAAAGAAGAGGTGCAAAAGCGAAGAATAAGACCAGCGAAGGAATAAGTTACGAAAATGTGAAATATATAAAAAAATAGATTTTCCATTCAAGCACAAATATTATAATATTGTCATGACATGTGTTTTCTTTCTTGTGATGATATCAATCAACTCAACTGTTGCAAAATGTGTGTTTTGTTGGTACATTTGCATGAGTTTGATTAATTGTGATAATAGAGACTAAAAATAATATGAATTAATGAAAATAAAACTTAGAATAACTCTTGAATTTGGAAATGTTAATGGCTAGAGGTGAAATTAAATGATGTTTGTACCTTTGTTTCTAGTTTTTCCAATTCCGGTCATATGTCCAAATCCTGAAATCATATTTTAATCACTCTTTGCCTAAAACTTAAAACCCACAAAGGTTGAAAACTTCAGACCTATCAGTTTGTGTTGTATGTCATATAAAATTATTTCCAAAATTCTTGCTTCTAGACTCAAAAATTGTCCCTTTGTTTGCATTAGTGAAAATCAGGCTGCTTTCATCTCAGAAAGGCAGCTTTTGGATAATGTTCTGATTGCTCAAGAAGTCATTCATTATCTTAATAGACATAGATCAGGTTCAAATTAGTTTATGGCTATCAAGCTCGACATGGAGAAAGCCTTTGATAGGATTGAGCCCCTGCATTACAACCATTATGAGAAAAATGGGCTTCCACTATCAATTCATTAGCTGGATCGTGTCCATCATTTCTTCCACCAGTTTTCCTTTTAACTTTAATGGCAAGAGCGTGGGTTCATTTCCCCTTCTAGAGGGCTTAGGAAGGGAGATCCCATCTTCCCATACCTTTTCATTATTGTTTCTGACCTCTTCTATTGTCTTTTGAAAAAATCAATTCTTCAGGGTTTTTTGAAAAGGCTAAAAATCTCAAGATCTGGCCCTACCATCTCCCACATTTTCTTTGCAGATGATACCATGCTTTCTTGTCAAGCCTCAGCCCTTTAAGCCTCTGACATTTTAAACATCCTTCACAGCTACTACCTTTGCTCTGGCCAAAAAATTAAGCTATCAAAATCTTCTATATTTTTCAGTAAAAACACCACTTTTTCAATTCAATCTGATATCTGTAGGCTCTTCAATCGAATCCAAGACAAATTTTCAACCAGATACTTAGGCCTTCCCCTTGGGATTGGTCAGTGTAAAAAGAACTTTTAACTTTGTTATTGAGGTGGTTAAAAACAGAACTCACAGTTGGAAGAATAAATTTCTGTCATCACATGGTAAAGAATCCTTATTAAGGTTGTCCTAAATGCCCTGCCTACGTTTGTGATGTCTTGCTTTCTCCTCCCCTCAGGTCTTTGTAGTGAAATCTCTAAATTAATTGCCAACTTTTGGTGGTCTAAGAGAGGGAATCAAAACAGAGGGTTATATTGCAAAAAGTGGAACCACATAACTTTACCTACGATAAATGGTGGACTTGGTTTTACTAATCTAAAACTTTTCAACGAGGCCCTTATTCTAAAGCAAATGTGGAGAGTTTACTCTAAACCAAATTTGCTTATGAGTAAGGTCCTTAAGAGTAAATATTTTCCACTGTTCTTTTCTTGATTCTAAACCTCATCAAAGCAGTTCTTGGCTTTGGAGGAGCTGAGCGTGAATTCCACTTCTGAACAGGGATTGGTTGTGATCATCAGAGATGGTAAGGATACAAAAATCTGGGACCACCCTTGGGTCCCATCACTTCAAAATCACAAACCAAGCAGAAGGGACCTCTTGCACCCACCAACCTCACTTGGGTTTGGGAGCTAATGATGCACAACTCTGAGGCTTGGAATGAAGATCTAATCAGGAAAACTTTCAATCCCTCATACAGTGAAGCCATCCTTAGCATCTCCACTAATAACAAAACTCAAAAGGATATGATTGTCTGGAATTTCAGCAAGAAAGGTAATTTCTCTGTGGCATCCTCTTATGACTTCTTAATCAACGGCAAAGTTCTTGGCCTGGACATCCCTGAATCAAGCAACCACTCCATCTGGATAAGCAAAGTCAAAGGTACTAACTGAAAGCTTAAAGTGAAGAAGAAGATAAAGCACTTCATCTGGAAGTGCTTCTCTAGAATCTTTCCTTCCCAGATCAACCTGAACAAAAGAGGTGTGAAAGTGGACAACATCTGCAAAGCTTGTGATGAAAAAGAGGAGACTACAGAACACCTGCTTTTTAATTGCCCTAGGGCCAAGACGGGAAAAAATTAGAGATTTCATCCTATAAGTGGCACCCATTTGAGGTTTGGTCCTCCCCAATACCCACTTTTGGATCATGTCCCGTAAGTTTATAATATTTATTTTTTTATTTATATACTTTATTTAATTATACTTTATTGTATTATGTTTTATTTACTATATTTAGTATTTATTTTATTTTTAATTAATTAAATAAAAATAGTATTATATTATTTAATATATTTATTTGTTAATATAATAAATGAGAAAATAATGTAATATTATTCAATATTTTTATTTATTAATTTACATATTTAATAAATTATATCGAACATTTATTTATTTAGTAAATATTTTATTAATATATAAAAAATTTAATAATATATATATAATTTATATAATAAATTATGCATAATCTTATAATGAAAAGTAGTATAAATTGAATTATATATAATAAATAATACTATATTATTTAATAAATTTATTTATTAATATAATAAATAAATAATAAAATTATATTATTGGATATAGTTATTTATTAATTTATATTTAATATATTTATTTATTTAGTAAATATTATTTAATTAAAAAAATCAATGATATATATTATGTATTTAACTTAATTCTTGTCTACGAACTTGATGTGTCTTCCCGCCTCTTCCTTCTTTATCGGATTTTTCTTAAGAAGAATAGATGAGACCTTAAAATGGCTTTATCATTGCCTTCCAGTAGATTGAATATAGAAAGACATCCAATAGGGCTGTAGGCTCTTGTTGAGCCTTCGTTCCAGTAGATTGAATATAAAAGACATCCGATAGGGCTGTAGACTCTTGCTGAGCCTTCGTTCCATCATTACTATTCCATGACATCACTTCGCTTCGTTTGTTCGTTTCTTATTCTTCTTTTTTTTTAGAAGGCCGATCATCGTAGAGTTTAGGCTGACTAGCTTTGATTGCATCAAGTTCTTCTTTAGTCCATACTGCCAGCAGTACTTGCAGCCTTGTCCACACCTTGAGTACCTCAATGACCCAGACAAGCTTAGGGTTGTACATGAGAACCTTCTACATTATAAACGCAACTCAGTACTACTTTAGAGTGATTGACTGGGTAAGGATAGAAAGAAGGGTACGTAATGGGGAATTGCCGCTTCGCTTCGTTTGTTCAGTCGACTCAACTTTGTCGATCCTCTCTGAATTTCTATGACTTCGCTTCGCTTCGTTCTCCAAGTCTCACAAGCCCTCCTCTCCCTTTGGATCGAGGTCAAGGAATGATGGCATTGTCGACGAGCAGGCCGAGGCGGAATATGTGCATACAAGAGAGAAAGGGGAATGGGAAGCTGAGAAGAAAGCTCAGGCCGATGAGATAGAATGTCTTGCCCGAGGGCAGAGAAAGTTGAAAAGTGAGCATATGGAGTTGATTAAGGAGTTTCACCAGCTGAGAGCCGAGAAATAGGAGCAGCAGAAGGATTTGGGGAAAGAAAGGCTGCTTTCAGGCCCGAGAAAAGGTTGGCTACTACCTTGTGCGAGCTGAAGTGGTTACGGGGATTGTTGTCTTGTCTTGGTGTCGCTCATTCTCAGGCTATGCAGTTGCATTGTGACAATTAATCTGCTTTGCATATTGCTGCGAATCCAATTTTTCACGAGGCGATAGGCCGTTTAATCACCACCTTGTTTTTAGCCCCGTTACTGGTGGAGGGGCTAAAAATTTTATGCTATATTATTTAATATATTTATTTATTAATATAATAAATAAACAAATTATATTATATTATTGGATATAGTTATTTATTAATTTTTATTCAATAAATTATTTAATATATTTATTTATTTAGTAAATATTATTTAATTAAAAAATCAATGATATATATTATGTATTTAACTTAATTCTTGTCTACGAACTTGATGTGTCTTCCCGCCTCTTCCTTCTTTATCGGATTTTTCTTAAGAAGAATAGATGAGACCTTAAAATGGCTTTATCATTGCCTTCCAGTAGATTGAATATAGAAAGACATCCAATAGGGCTGTAGGCTCTTGTTGAGCCTTCGTTCCAGTAGATTGAATATAAAAGACATCCGATAGGGCTGTAGACTCTTGCTGAGCCTTCGTTCCATCATTACTATTCCATGACATCACTTCGCTTCGTTTGTTCGTTTCTTATTCTTCTTTTTTTTTAGAAGGCCGATCATCGTAGAGTTTAGGCTGACTAGCTTTGATTGCATCAAGTTCTTCTTTAGTCCATACTGCCAGCAGTACTTGCAGCCTTGTCCACACCTTGAGTACCTCAATGACCCAGACAAGCTTAGGGTTGTACATGAGAACCTTCTACATTATAAACGCAACTCAGTACTACTTTAGAGTGATTGACTGGGTAAGGATAGAAAGAAGGGTACGTAATGGGGAATTGCNGTTGTTTCAGTTGCTAGGTTGGTATTGGAATAATTCTTGATACATAAAAATTGTGATAACAAAATATATATTTATAATTTAATTCCGACAAATAATATATAATTTTTAAAAATTAACAGGTATGATAAAAGTTCAGATATAAATAGATTGCTCCATGCATGCTAGTATTTGACTTCGTATAACAAATTTAGCTGAAACATTTTGTGCAAATTTATGGACTTTGACTGTATGATTCAAAATTAAAATGGATGTTATTTTTTTCAAAAAAAAAAAAAGGTAACTGCATTAAAATTTTTGGCATATTTGTTGTCCAAATATTGAATATTACATCTTACATATGATTTCATTCCGAATTCTTAAAGACTCTCGGGTGCAATTAAACCTTGGCCATAATCGATTTTCATTAAGTTTATTGGTTAAGTGAGTTAATTTTGAATGAACCTGAGGTGAGATTTTAAATTTGTATTTAAATAGTATTTAAAAATAAATGATTAAAGTAGACGTAATTTAAAAGTATGAGAGATATTATTAAAAATTATACATAAAGAAAAATATGTGAGTGTATGAATAATGAATCAAAATTGAGGTGATATGTGAACATAATAATTGAAATTATTTAATCGTGCGAAGAGTTGAGTTAGATTAATCTGATTTGGACTTTGAGTTAAAAAATTAAAGACAAATTTGTTGATCAGTCAAAACCAAATAATTTCTTTAGTCAATCGCGCGCCCTTTTGGGATTTTTATAATCCTAGCGTATTTACCTTGAAGTTTATAAGACTTTTAAAAGACGAAAGTATTTATTTGAGATTTAAAAAAGTGTTAAAATTTGAACAAAAAAAAAAAAAGTGTTAAAATGTCATGAGATATATATTCAATTTATTTATCACTTGAATCTGTTTGGATTTAGTAAGACTTCATTAGATTTCACGAACAAAATCCATATACGAAATCCAACTCGACATATGAACCTTCAATTATAAGATTTTTAAGGATTGCGAAATAGAACTGCAAATCTCACCTCCGATTATGAGATTTTCAAAGATTACTTTTAAATTCGAAAATTTGAAAAGTTTTAAACTTAAAGTTCTAAATTGTCACTCCAATTCTTAAAGAATGTTATTATTATTGATGTATATCAAGGGATTGAATTAGATCAGCATGATCAAGTTTGAGTTTGACCATCCCATGCTATGAGCTAATGATGTAAAAGATTATTGTTATTGTTATAATTATTATTATCATTCTTATTATTATTATTTTTATTATTATTATTGAGGACAATTAACGAAAGCAACATCTGAACAGAACCTTGGTGCGTTGAACTCTTGACGTCTTCAGTCTCCATCACTAACTAAAACACAGATTAGCAATATAACAAAGGTCTCCAAGTTTGAAGTTAACTAATGTACCAAATCTATAGCTTTGACCTCGATTGTTATTTGCTAACAACCACAAACAATTCTCCTATTCTCCAAAAGATCGAAATATATTAGTTAATCTTCCTAAACAACTTGAACCACTCAAAAGTAACTGCTTCATTCGGCATTTTAGCCTTGTTTGGCATTTAATAAATCGCGGATAACTAATATATGATTCAATTAATGAACTAGTACGAATTCTCTGCGATGCACGGATAAAAGATATTTATTAATATTTATAAATTTAAAATGCTCACTAAATAATATTTATATATTAAAAATATGGAATCAATATATAATATAATTTACCTATATTAATTTATTGATAATGTTATATAAAATTTCAATTGTACAAAATTGCATAACACATGTCTGTTTAAAATTAGTACACAACTTGTACTGGATGATGAATTATAATATATTCATTTCAAAATAATTTTGAATTTAAATTTTTTATTCAAAAGTTCGATTTGACTACAATGTAATTACATAATATAATTATTTTGGTAAAATTTATCATATATTTAAAAATATATGTGAATAATAAGTATAATTTTAAACTTATATTGTTTCATTAATTAAAATGAATTATTTTCGTATAAACTATCCAATCAAAAATTTAAGTAGTAGTAATTTATTAAACTTTAGATAATTGACATTTTATTTATGTCCAAGTTAATATATATATATATATATATAAATACTATCTCGCAATTTTCTAATTTTTTTGTCGGTTACCTTAAAGTTCAAATTATCAACTAATCTCTAGAACTAACCAATAAATTTTAAATTTTATTAGCCAATATTTTTTCAAAGATCTTTCTCATTTTCAAGAAGAATACATGTCATTTTGTCGAATTATTATCAACATCTTATGGTAAGCTAATATGGGAACATGCTAAAATTTGAGAATCATATCACCTTGATTTTATAACAAATCAACCTGAAATTCGACTTTCATACCCCTACCAAATAAAATTCATACAACTTATTTTGTTTTCAAAAAATTTAAATACACATATCCATACCAAATAAAATTCATGTCATTTAAATTCTAACATTTCATACCAAAATGAAATCATCCAGTTTATACCATAAATTCGGACATTTATTAATAACAACATATTTTCCACCAAAAATAAAAATGACCATCAAATACCTCAAATAAAATCTTCCACTTTATATCAAAATCGAATTTATTATTTTTGACAACTTTATATCATAAATTAGTTGTTTAATTTATAGAGGCGGGATTTTTTTGAACAAAAATTCAAAAATAATTACCAAGTTTTGTAATTTTAAAAATTTTAAGTAAAATTTTAGTTTCTATTTCAGGTAAATAGAAATAGTTTTAAACATATATAGATACATTAGCTAATACCGAAAAACTGGTTTAGTGAGCAAATTTGATCAGTTGAAGAGATAGCGGATTATACAAAATGTTTGGTAAATAATAAGTATTAGTACAATACCCCTGTATTATACGGATGTTGAATTTAGAGGTATATGTAAAAAACATTAGAACTTTTATTTTAAAAAATTTCTTCGAAACTAAAATAATTTTATTTTTATAAAACATTACTTTGAATTTCAAATAAATTGTCACACTATATTTTTTAATCGTAATAGTTAAACGCCCGTGTATTAAATGAAATGTCAATTCATATTGAATTTTTTTACTTATATCATAAAAATACCAATATTAGTTGCTATTACATAAATACAAAAATATATATCTTAAATGAATAGAAATAATATGGTGATATGTATATGCATGAGTGTAGAATATGTTTGTTGAATATTAAGTAAAATAGATTAACTTTTTACGTAATTAGATGCCTAATAAATCAAGTGTCGTATCATTCGTGCTTCACAATTTTCTATCTTTATATGTAATTTTAGAATTTGGATAAATAATTATTTATTTTTATTAGATTGACAATAGATCAATTAGATTTAAAATAAATATCATTTTTAAAAGTCTAATATCATATTATTTCATTTTCGAAATGATTAAAATATGAACATTGGAGAGAAAGATTGAAAAATATATTAATATGATTGATTTAGTCACGAAATGTAACAGAAAAAAGAAAAAATCAGACAAAACAGAATGTATTAAGGTAACTGAAAGAAAAAAGTGTGAAATGAAAAAAATAGTGATTGCTTCAATAAATGAAAATATATAATGTATCAATATAGAAATAACCATGTCTAATTGACATTTGACATGACACTCAAGCCTAATTATGTATCAATCCAAAGCATATAATTATAAAATATAGGATTTCGAAACACACGAGCCTGTCACTTAGGCTCAGCAGATTCAGGAATTATATATAGAGGGATTTTAAACTTTATGAAGTATAATAATTATTATTAGTATATTGATTATCGCGTTTATTTATTTTTTAAGATCATTATAATGTTCAATCTCTATGTAGCCTATATGTAAGTTGAGACATAAACATAAAAAAATATTTATTTATATTAATTTGATGTTCATACTTAGTTATATGTTTTTTATCCAAATAAAATAACTATTTTGTGGTATGTTAATATACATAAATTTCTATTACTTTATAATATAATTTATACTTTTATTTGATTTTTTAATTTAGTTTTATAAATAAATTTAAGTTATATATATAAGGATATATATTACTGTTTTGTATTATATATATATATATATAGTGATAACTAAGTTCTAGCGTGAGAACCGTGAGAAGCGTTATTTTTAATTTTATGAAGTGCTATGATTGAGTGTGTTTTAGTGCTATTTTTAACCATAATGTATTATATTAAAATAGCAACACAATTTATATTAACATTTGTAAAAATGATAGCATCATTTAATATTAAAAACAACATCATCCACAATTAAAAATAGCATCAAATATGGTTCTCACGGTTCTCACACCTAGTTTTTATTTGAACCAACCTCTATATATATAATACGGATGTCAAATAAAAAATAGTTAAATGATAGTTAATTTGATAGATCGTATATAAAAAGTAAAATACAAACAAAAAAGTTATAAAATCATAAAAATAAGAAGAAAAGACATTTATAATAATTGATGTACGAATAAAATAAGAAAATGAAATGTAATATGTATGGTAATGTAAGAAAGAAAATGTAAAATAGTTTATGGTAACTAATTGTAGATGTAAAGAAGGAAAAAAATCAATCATAGATTTATTGTGAATTATATAATCATTAAATGAAATTCAAGTCTACTTATTTTTGGATAAAAAGTATTAATTTATATACAAGCCTAATTCCGAAGCATGAATTTTTGCCAAATAGGATTTCGAAGCGTGAGAATTTTTCATTTAGACTCAACACATTCTAAGATTACATATAGAGAGATTTAATATGTAAGAGCATCTCCAATGCTCTAATGTTATTGTAGAATAAATTATGACAAATATCAATATATTAAATAGATATTGAACCGTGTAGGAAAAATGTTAAGTTCACAACTATGAAATTGAAAAATTATCTTCAATGCACAATGTAGTCTAACTTCAATATTATCTACTTACCAAATATTAAAATTTTAATAAAAAAGTAAAAAAAAAATTAATCAAATTATTAAATGGCTTGAAAATGCTAAAAATAATCATCTCTTTTCTCTTCATTGGGTAGATAGTGTGTGAAAGAGAATGTGAATGAACCACATTCTTCTCTACATTATAGACATTAATTATGTCCACATCATCACAATATTTGTGATCACATTGTACATTAGAGGATTAAAAGTTGTAGTATTACTAAATGTGTTGATGTGTCATGTGATTTACCACAACAACATTTGAGCATTGGAGATGCTCTAAAGATAAATAAAATTATTATTTTGTATGGGTTATAAACGAGCAAACTCGAGTTCAAGCTAGAGCCCTTAACAAGTCGGTCTCGGCTCGACTCGTTAGTTAAGCAAGTCAATAATCAAACTCGAGCTTGACTCGTTTATCAATATTAACAAGTTGAACTCGAGCCTTAACGACCCAAGCTTGAGCTTTAATTAGCCAAATTATAAATAATCTTCCTTTTGAGCCTTAATGAGCTCAGCTGAGCCGTGCCAAGGTCATAAGCGACTCAAAACGAGTTTTTTTGTTAACCAGAGTTAATTTTGAAAAGTTAGTATGATTAATTGTTGGTGGATTTTTGAGTTTATATTAAAGTTGATTTGATGTAAAAGTATGAGAGAGATGATGTGAAGTGATGGTTAGATAAAATTATGTGAGTTGATGAATAGTGAATTAAAGTTGATGAATAATCAATTGAGATTATTTAATTATATTTATAATGTTGAAGATAGTGAGGTTGAGTTAAAATTGAGTATGAGTTGATATCATTTATAAACAAACACACCCTAAACGATTGAGAGAATTAAGAGAAAACTCTCAATATATTTTTATGTCGGTGAAACTCATCTCTCTCAAAACAATAGAAGATGAGTCTTTAAATAGAACTCAAAATCTTAAGTAAATATCTTTCCCAACAAGTAAAGGACTCAAGTTTCCTTATAAATATAGGATGTCCTTAATAAATATTAAAACAACGGAAGTAAATAAATGAAACAAAGAAAATAAATAATTAAACCAATGATATTAAACGACCATGTTTATCCAAAAACGCCAACGCAATCTCATCCTCATCATTCTCCCCCTCTCGAAAAAGATTTACCCTCGAATCCAACGCAATTTCATCTCCATCATCAACTCTAGACTTATGGGAAAAAAATTGTTCCAAACTACTGCTTACCGAATAATAAACCAGAGAGGTATGCTTGTAAAATTTCTAATTTACCATCAAAACACTAATTTGGTCTCAAAACGACAATTATCAAAAGAGGCTTATAGAAAGGTCAGATCAGTGTAATATAATAATCCTACTTTATATATAAATGGATAATTTTTTGATTATATGTGTCAATTTATGGTGCTTTTATTATTCCTATATGTTAACTTATGGTAGTTTGTGTTCCTATGTATAGTGCTTCAGAGTAATTCATATCTATTTGGACTTATATCCATTCATATTATGACTTTTAAAATTATAAAACACTTCACTAACTTAATTATAAATATATTATACAATAACTTTTGTATTTGTTATCTAATTAATATATATGATATATCAAATTAATCATCTCTTGAATAACTTCGAATTGACATCTATATTTCACATGCAAATAAATGTATAGGTACGTTTATAATAAAAATTAAATTATATATTAATACCAACTAAAAATTAATAAAATTATCCATCTATTAAATACATTTATCTATAAAGTACATAAAATGATTTAAATTTGTTACAATATAGTATATTTTTTCGAACAATTGACAAGTGTCATTTTAAATATAAATAATAGTGTAAGTTTTAAGATTTATTAAAGTTGAAAATAAAAAATTATCTTAAAAAATTAAGGTATTAAATTTTTATCAGCACCCATATAATATACCAAATTTTACGAGTACTTACACATACAGAACCTTGTTCAAAGTACACTGTACACCTAACGATCTCCAGCTTATTCCAATAATTCAAGTGCATTGAAAAATTACACGTAAAATATTATTGAGGCTAATTAACTCGATATGGACATGAGACATGTAAACAGCTTATTAAAGACCGATCAAATTAACATCAATTATATCGATACAGACATGTAAACAGCTGATTAGAGGCCAATCTGGGCTATTATGTCCACCGGTTAGTAGGCATTTTTAGACCTTTATTTATTAATTGTTCAGGATATGATTTTAGTGAAAGGATGTATAAACTTACTTTATTTAATATCCATCAATAAAGATATGTAAATGTACAATTTTGCTATGAAGTCAACACGACTTATAGAATCATCCACACTTATTCACAAATAGTATATTCAAACGTGTCTTACAATAAATACAGTTTAAAATTTTGGACCAAAATCCAACATTTTTGTCAAAATATATATGCTCATAATACATTAAGGGATGGACATCAAACCTAGCAATTCGAAAAATAGGATTGGCATCAAACTTTTAATTTAGAATTTATTATTATTATTATTATTATTATTAAAAAATAAATTATTTCTTTGGCAGCAAGTAGTTGATCAAGGACCTGAAAAGGACACATTACAGGACCCAGGGTCATTAATTTGGAAAATGTTTCATTGGCGTCCAGTTGGATTATGCTCCACTCCATTATTGTTGAACAAGTTGAAATTCCTTTGATTGCATAACTATCCAATCAAAACTTCGGGAAAATATAGGTAACTCACTTTGACNATTGCATCCCATTTTGTCTTAATATGTTTCATATAGTCGTTAGAGTGTGTTTGTAAAAGATTTTCAAATCAAATTAACTCATATTCAAAATTTAACTCAATTTTAACTTAATTCTACTATCTTCAATATTATCAATATAATTAAATAATAACAATCAATCATTAAATACTAACAATCAATTATTTTTACACATCATTTCAACTTTAATCCACTATTCATCCACTCACATAATTTTAACTAACCATCACTCATATCCTCTCTATCCTACTTTTACATCAAACCAATTTTAATTATTTTATTTTAAATATTATTTTAATAAAAACTCAAAATCCCACTAACAACTAACTATACCACTTTTTCTAAATTAACCTTAGTTAACTTAAAAAACTCATTTTGAGTTAATTCACTCAAATTATTGGACGTAGAAAAAAGTAAGTGTAAGATCTTTTTAATATAAATAAAACTTTTTTTTTTGGATACAACTAGTACGAATCTCGTGCGATGCACGGTAAAAAGATATTCATTAATATTTTTAAATTAAAAATTCTGATTAAATAAGATTTATAAAATAAAAATATGACATTTATATGTTATACAATTTATCTATATTAATTTATTCAAAGTTATATGAAATTTAGATTGTGCAAAATTATACAAAACATGTGCATTTAAATTAATACATAATTCATGCGGTGCAAAATTACATAAACATGTCTATTTATATTAACTAGTACGGTACCCGTGCGATGCACGGAATAATTTATTACCTATTTATTTTTTAAAAGGTAATTTTGTATTTGAATTGTCCCATGCCATTAAAAATTTCATGAAAATAAATTTATATGTTATTAAACACTTCCTTATGTACAACATTATTGATTTGATTCTTTGGCACGTAAAGTACTATATAGGTGATCCAAAATTACATATTATTAGTTATTAGTTAACAAATTTTAAAAAAATTAAAGAATCTTATTTATTAAACAAAATTAAAGTAGAAAAAAAAGTAGAATTTTTTAAGGATTTTCACCAATTATTTATTTTAAATCTAATTCTAAATTTCAATTAAAAAAATTTTAAAAGAATCATTAGTTACTCCAGAAAATGAAACCCATTTTCCTACCATCAAACTAATTTTTTTATCAAACAAATTGATCCGATTGATTTTTAAACCAAATAAAAAAATCATCATTTTTTCCTAAAAATTGCAATCGAATTTTTCTAACATTGCACCGATTTTTTTACCAAACAAATTGAATTGAAATTGATATGAACTTAACCAAACAAAAAAAAAGAAATGATATGAACTTAACCAAAAAAATGATATGAACTTACCAAAATCTCGGTAAAACATGGTTAAGAAAATATATAAGAATCCAAAAAAATCGATGCATTTAAATTTTGAAAAGTTGCACACAATTTTTCCTAAATAATTGGATAAGGTGACTTTAAATATCAATGATGAACCGCTTTTGTTACCAAAAAATGTGGACACAATTTTGAATGTACATCCCGTCTAAATATCAGTTCTATTTTAAAATAAAAATTGCATGTGGCTTTATCCAATTTACATAATTTTTTTGAAAGAAAATTTTTTTCAATAAGATTGCAAAGAATTGGTTAAGAATTATACAACTATTTGATTCCTAAATTTGTATGCAATTTGCACGGTTTTTAAATTAATTTGTATTTAGAATTTTTTTTCATAAATAATTGACACATTTTTTGCATAAGAATCTCCAAAATTGTTACCAAAAAAGATATGATTTAAATTTTAGTAAAACAATAAAATATGATACGAAAAAAATGGGATTCAAATTTTGCCATAAGAATCTCCAAATTTGTTACCAAAAAGATAGGATTTAGATTTTATTACTAAAGATTCACATGTGTTTTTTTGAACTTTCCATTAATAGTAAGTCAAACATTATATTTATTTGGTCAAACTTTCTATTAATGTATTTTTTCAACAACCTCTTTATATATATATAGATACACAACTCGCACACGTAACTGATAATAAATTACATCATATTAATTTCAAAATAAGTGTTATCTTAAAATTTTTCTTCAGAAATTCGTTTTGACTATAATGTCATTCTATAAAATAATTATTTTGATAGAAAATTACATATATCTAAATATCTATGTAAATAATAATATAATTATAAAACTTATATTGTTTCACTAATTAAAATGAATTTATTTTTGTATAAACTGTCCAAATTAAAAAATTTAAAAGTTGAGTAATTTATTAAACTATAAACAATGGACTATTCCATTTACGTCCAGTTAATATTGACTCGTAAGTTATGAATAAAGTATATAAACGAGATAGAATTGGAAAAACCTATTGGTATGGTTATAGTATAATTTGAGTTAGTTTATCTTATCCTAGTACACTTTGTGTGTATTGACTGGACATCAGATGAGAATTTTATTTTATAATGACCAAGTAAATAAATTGGACCTCATGGTATTACTCATACTCTTGAACCGTCTGATAATAACAGACACATGTATTTAAGATTTCTTTCTTTGTTCATCAAAGGGCGAAACTTATTCCACTATTTCAATAACACAGTGAGTTGAAAGATATTATTATTTACATGGTGTGCTTTTTTTGATTGTATTTGGTCACCATGTATTGGTGTGTCAGGGTAATGATGTCCCAGAAACGAGCTCAAAAGGCTTATTATGCTAATCCTATTAGGTGAAATAATATATGGCATAATAATAAGGATTTAGTTATTCTATTTTCGGACAATAAGTTAATTAACTAGGTTGTCAATAATTAAATTAGTTAGCGGACGTTTATCTTTAATACGATGAGATAAATCAAGGATAGTGAAGGCCATGTAATTGAGGTGAGGAAAAGATAGTGCAATAATAAATATTTAGTTGAATTATTTATTATTATAGCCCAAGAAATAGTGTGGACCACAACCCAAGTATTTCTGGCCCATTCAGAAACTTAATCCTAACCTCTTTAAAGCCTCTGTTGTAGCCTAAAAATACACCATGTGGGGAACCTATTCTCAAGCATGAGAGATCATAAAATCCCACCAATACAAATAAATAGAGGGTTGGAAATGTGACCAAGAGAGTGCAAGAGAACGGGAGTTCCCGCTACACGAGTCCGGGAGATCGTCACCCACATGACGCCCAACCGAGGTGAAAGGAATACAACAAAATATGTTGTGGTCACGGGCTAATCGACGCACATCGCAATGCACGACCAACAAATAACTCACGGCGTGACACGCGACGGACCACACACACGACAGCAACCGACGACACAAGGTGCGTCCCATGTAAGCAACAACCGGCGAGGCGCGTGGACCAACGCGACAAGGCGATACGCAACCGACGAGCAGAGACGCACATGGAAAGGAGGACGAGGAGGTTGAAGAATGACTCAAAACCATTCATATGGACTCGTAGCCCATATATGTCTGTACAGAGTCGGCATAGACAAACAAGTAAGATTCGAATTCGATTGTTAGTTCTGTTGCATCTAGAATTTTTATATTAGATTGTCAATTGATTCAAAGAATGATCAACGGGAATTCTTCACCGAACCCAACTGGGCTGAGGCTATAACATAGCGCAACACATCATACCTCGATTGTCGTCATATGTAAAAGATGGTAATATACCATTGGAGGTATGGTCTCGAAAACCTGTAGCTGACTATGGATCTTTACATGTTTTTTGGTGTCGTACGTACTATCATGTGAAGGATTTAAAGTTAGATCCAAGAGAGAAAAAAAGCTTTGTTCGTTGGAATTACCATTGGCGTAAAGAGATATTGTCTTCGGTGTCTTGAGACGAACATAATTGTATTTAGTAGGGATGTTACATTTGATGAACAAGGCATGATGAAGATGGCACATACCCAATAAGTGGAGTTGACACCAAAATAGATGGAGATAGATGCGATGACGAGACAACGATCTATGATCTATGATCCAATATAAAAGGATTCGTCGAATGATGAAGAAGAAGTTCAGACCCAAGATTTGAAGACTCAATTGAATCAAGAGTTTGAGATGAAAGACTTGAGAGAAGCTAAGAAAATACTCTTGGACGGAGATAAGTAGGGACAGAACAAGAGACAAGCTCTGTTTGAATCAAAACTAATATCTAGATAAGGTACTACAGTGTTTTCGCATAAAAGATGAGACGAACCCTGTAAGTACGCCACTCGCCCATCGTTTGAAGTTAAGTGCCCAATTATCGCCAAAATTTGATGAAGAACGAAATCACATGGCTAGAGTCTCATATGCAAAAGCAGTTAACAATTTGATGTATGCGATGGCGTGTACAAGACCCAACATTTCACGAGCAGTTGGTCTTGTGAACAGGTATATGAATGATCCTCGTAATGGTCATTGACAAACTGTGAAATGAATTCTACAGTACATTCATAATATTGTAGACGCTGGGTTAGTTTATGAGCATAATGAAATTGGCCAATGTGTAGTTGGATATTGTGATTCTGACTATGCTGGCGATTTGGATAAGTGACGATCAACAACTGGATACTTGTTCACTCTTGAAAAAGGTGCAATCAGCTGGAAGTCTACTTTACAATCAATGGTTTCTTTGTCTACAACAAAGACATAGTATACGGCGGTTACCAAAGTTGTAAATTAAATGAGGAAATCTGGCTTGAAATAAACTTTGCTTGAAGACTTTGGAGTTGGTCAGAGGCATGTAATAGTGCATTGTGACATTCAGGGCCCTATTCACTTAGTGAAAAATCAAGTATTTTATGTAAGAATGAGACTTATTGATGTTTCGCTATCACTTTGTGCGGGAGATTCCAGAAGATGGAAATGTTGTTTTGAAAAAGATCAAAACAACGAAAAATCCTGTAGATATGATGACTAAAATTGTGACATCAATCACGTTTGAACATTGTTTAGACTTGACTAACAATCTGTATATTTCAGATGGTGCCAAGAGGGGCATTTGGAGGCACCACCGACTGTTGGATTGGAGATTTAAGTGGAGCAAAATTAGTCAAGGTGTAGATTGTTAAATTTTGATTAATGTTGCCTCACATCGAATGTGTACCAAAGATGTGCAAGATCTTTTTAGTATAAAATACATCCCTTGCTTTTGGATTACAATTGCACTTTATTCTCTTATCCCATATTTTAAAAGGAAATCCTTAATTAAGGAAATCCTAATTTGTTAGTTACTTAACTCTAGTTGCATTTTGGTGGTTAATTTAGTAAATCTGGCGTTGCGGTTGATGGTGCCCGGAGACGTAGGCAATATTGGTCGAACTCCGTTATCAATCCTCTATATTCTTTTTCTTTCTCGTCTTTTATTTATTTGTGTTCACTTATTTTCGTTAGTAATAATATTGTAATTATTTGTTCTGATGGTAGTTTTGTACTCCGTGCTTATTGTCATATCCCAACACCTACTGGTAAAAACGGGTCAAAAATTCATATAAGTTGGGACAGTTTTATAAAAACAAAGTTTATATAAAACATTTAACATAAATAATATAAACCTTAATAAGTTGGCCATGTATCAATTATTATCTCAATTAATTTAGATATTTTTGTTTTAATTTAATTAAGTATTAGTTATTGTTTTTTTTACATGAAATATTAGTTAAAAATATTACATATAACATTAAAAAGTATAGTAAGTTGAACCATAGCTCAACAAAAGTCTGGCTAACCATTGAACATGTCTAGAACTTACACAGTTCACTGGTTAGACCATCGACCAGAACAGTTTACCGAACCTCAATTTCATCAACAATGTTCTACTATTGTTCTGCCTCCAGGTTAGGTTTGCTAATAGCGGTTTAGGTACTAAATATAGAATATAAACGAGGGATTATGACCACTATTTATAGCACAGTTCCTTTGGGGGCTTTGTCAACTCAATTTTGCATTCCCTAACCTTATTTGTATCCCTTATTTAGCTAAGCATGATTAAAATCGGTTCAACCGTCATATTTTTTTTATAAAAAAAAATGTATAATTTACAAAAGTATAGTTTTTCAAAACGGAATAAATAACTAAATTAACCTATTTTCCAAATCTACAACACATGCATATTTTTTTGAACAAGAAAAAAAATATATATATATGTGCCTATTTCTCAACATATTGGCAGATTGACACTAAATCAAAAGTTAATGAAAACCGAAACCTACTGGACAGCTGGACTTCAATGCATGCTTTGATTACACAAGTACAAAGCCCACCTTTTCTTCTCCTCAATGCTAAGAGTTTGCTATATAGCGTATTATTAAGTATTAACTACAAAGACCCCAAATTATGTTAATGTCCAGCTGCTGATTTTATCTTTCTATAGGTAGAAATAAATCAAGCCAATAATGGCCAATAGTATGGTGACATCTTAGCCAGCTGTCGATAAGAAGGACATGCCCACACCCGACCCCCACTCCCTTCCCATCTATATTTTTCTTTTATAATAATAAATTAATAAATTTTATCAAGTACACGTTTCCCCAGCCCCTTTTTATTTATTTATTCCCTTATTATCTACTATTAAATTAAAACAAGTACACGTTTTTTTAAGCTACGCTACAATAAATCCAGTGTGCTCCATATTTTATCATTTCATCTTTTTGACAAGATAATTTTGCGTCTCACTATTTACTGTATATAGGAAATGATGTATTCCCTCTTTTTTTATAATAAGATAATTTTGCGTCTCATTATTTAACTGTATGTGACGTATTCCATCTTTCTTTATATATAAGATAAGATAATTTTGCGTCTCACTATTTACTGTATATATGAAATGATGTATTCCATCTTTTTTTATAATAAGATAATTTTGCATCTCATTATTTAACTGTATGTGATGTATTCCATCTTTCTTTATATATAAGATAAGATAATTTTGCGTCTCACTATTTACTGTATATGATGTATATATCTAGTTGAAATTAGTCCCCTTCATATAAGTAAGGAAATAATAATAACTATAAAAAAAAAAAAAAATAAAGAAAGAATA